ACAAGAGTAAATGGAGCCTTCCCTGCCCCCTTTATGTTCCTATACAAGGACCATTCACATTTGCAGATCCTGCTCTGTCCTGACTGAAAAGGCTGCTGATGCAAAGTTAATTATGTTCTTGCCACTGCTCCATCAAAATATACCACTCCTGAAATACACAGCTTAAAAATCCACTTTGCAAAAAGCACGTTTTTCAAGATTAATGATAATTCTTGAGACACTTTTTATTTTTGCGTAATTCTTTTACATAAAAAATGTACAGATGTTTGCCTGGGAGCTTTCCAACAATGTTTTCAGATAGTTCTCTGCTAAAAAATGTTCACTGTGAAATGGCATCTGATTTTGTTCCTTGTGTAAACTTGATTGGTTTGTCAACTTTGCAAAACACATAAAAGTCATTTTATTATAATGACTTCAGAGTTTGAACATATATTTTCATTCTAAATTCCTTCAATATATCTTTTGGCTTTAAAAATATTAATAAGCAATATTATGAGAGGGAGGTCATAGGAATTTATATATACTCCATTTAAATAGAAACATGTACTATAACAGTTTGGTGGTCCAGTGTGAAGGATTACTGTTAATTTAGAAGTGCTATTTTAATATTTAAAGGGCATAACTTCTCTTGCATATATATTATTGAAAGGGCAAAACTGCAGAATTGCAAAGAATAACAATATTTGATGTTTTCTTCAAACGATGAACATAATATTTTGTATATCATATTTTAGATTACAGACGTGTAATACAAAGCAGCCCTTCTCTATTATGTCTGACTTTCTGACAATGGAAGAATGGAAGGTCATACTGTGAAAACATGACAAATTCTGAGAAATTAAAAAAATGTATCCACAGGTTGAACCTCTCTAGTCCAGCACTCTCTGATCCAGCAACATCCGTGGTCTGGCATGATTTTAGTCTGCTGTCCACTTATCATGGGTGTGGCCAAATTTCCCATGGTCCTATAAAGTTTGCTTATAGCCACCAGTCCTGGCACTCACTGTTCTGTCATTTAGCTTTAACTTACCCCGAAATGTCTTATAAGTGTCCAGTAAGCAACTGAAGTGTTGGTAATGCTGCTACACAATATTGACCTACTGTGGTTCGGAAAATTCTCTAATTTAGCACTGGTCAGGTTCCAAAGGTGCCGGACTAGAAAGGTTCCACCTGTACAACCTGTCTGAAATATAGAATAAAGATGAAAACATTTATGGCATTTTGACAATGGAAAGATTTTTAAACATATAACTTTCGAAAGAAACTGGGTACCCAAATGCCTTTTGTTGATCTGGTGGGAATGCTGAAGGACCATATAAATTCGGGGTGGACAAAAGGGCTTCTGCGGGCCAGATCCAGCCTGCCAAGCGGGTGGATCTGGCCCACGGAAAATCTGCTGCTGCTCCGCCCCCAAACCAATTAGGGCCTGGGGGCAGGGGAGCACGTGAAGCCTCCTCACACCCTGCCAGGAGCACATGGTGCTGTGAAGCACCAGGTGCTGCTCACAGGGCAGGGGGTAGGTCAGGAGTAGGGTTTGCGCACTCCCCCGCCCCCAGTCCAATCAGCTTCCTTCGCCTGCCCTAGCCACGTGCTCCTTGCAGGGGAGGAGGAGGTTTCCTGTGCTCCCCCGCCCCCACGTCCTGATTGGCCTGAAGGTGGGGGAGCATGCCAAGCCTCTTCCAGGACATGGGTGCCTAGTGGGAAGGGGGGGCAAAGGGGCTCTCCCATCCCCAGACCACTTATGGTTTAGGAATGGGGTAGCCCCACCCTTTCCATTTAGGTCCCGCTCCTTCCTATCTGGGCCCCGCCCCTTCCAGGGTGGCACAGGGCTGCTTCAAAAAATTTTGAAGTGGCCCCTGGGCAAAAAATATCGCCTACCTGATATAAATAGCTTATACAGGTTGAACCTCTGTAGCCATGCACTCTCGGAACCTGACTGGTGCCAAACCAGAGAGTTTGCTGGGCCACAGGAGGTCAATATTGTATAGCAACATTACCACACTTCCATTGCTTGCTGGGCTCATAGAAGCCATTTAGGGGTAAATTAGAGCTAAATAACAGCACAGATCACTGAGAGCTAGAACTAGCGGCTTTAAACACACTTTATGGGACTGCAGGAAAATTGACTGGACATCCAGATAACGGAAATCATGCTGGATCACGGATATTGCTGGACCAGAGTGTGCTGGACTAGAAAAGTTCTACCCGTATTAACAGGAGCACAACACTAAGGAGAGAAGTATGACAAAGAAAACAATAGAACTCTCCAGGGTTATTAGAAAAAAACAAAACAAACTAAACCCATCACTAAGTTTGCTGCTATCTAAAGAGTGATTAAAGAAAGCAAACAGCTGTTTGGTTCTTAACAAAACAGTTCTGTCACAATGAGTTAAGAGCTATTACACTGTCATAAAGTAACAAACAGCTGTGAAATTGGTCCAAATTTACTTTTCCCCTTTGGATTATTATTCTATTAAGTACTGCAATGAGATGGGATTTGCCACATAGAGCCAGCCCACTGGTCTATCAAGTCCAAATCTAATCTGCTTCTAAGACTGTCCAGTAACTGATGCATGAGAGAAAAGTGAAAATACATAATAAAACCATAGCTAATTATGAAAGATTATACATCAGTAGAGCTCTGCACAGATACAAACTTTGTATCGGCATCCGCATCTATATCCACAAAAATTAGCTGAGAATATCTGCACTGATGTCCGCAGATGAGGCAGACCCATGGATATAAAGTGTATATCCATAAATGTGCAGGGTTCTAAATACAAAATTTGTATTCACATACATATCTGTAAAAATGAGCCATGGATATTGCATCCTATTTGCATTCACATCCACATTTCTATAGATCAGGCAAAGAGTTCTTCCCCAACTCTGAAGCCTACATTTCAATTCCTCTTACTTTAGATCATCACTGATCATAAAAGTATTTGGTATTTTTTGTTTTTAAAGCTATAACAACTTAATGGCTTTCTTGCAGCCAAGAATTCAACTGGCTAACTATATGCAGGTGTGAAAAAAGTACTATCTACTATTCACTCCCACAAAGGAAGGGAGACTAGCTGATTGTCTAATATCTTGGCTTACCACTAACACCTACAATTGGTTATTTTCTTTTCGCTGCAAATGTAGCACTTTGCATAATAACTTAATTGAGCTACATGGGGAATATTCCTGTAACTTCCTCAAGTCCCTCTAAAAAATAAACTGCACTGGGGAATGAACCGGTTACCCAGGAGGAGGGGCTAGATTAGCTCCCTGCCTGCTAAAGGCAGGCTGTCACTCCAGCCCTGCGGGAGGAGAAGGGGGGCACCCCTCCAACCCAGTGGCATGCAAAGCCTAGCAGGGCTCGAGTGCCCCTCCCCCATTCCACCTCCAATTTAATCAGTTAACCCGTCAAACAATATGTTTAACTGGTTAAACAATTTGAAAGAAATGTAACTTGAAACAGAATACATAATTGAACTGAATGGGGCCATTAGGCAAATATCTTTGGATCTGTAAACTCTAGGGATTTAAAATCCCAAATAACTGGTTAACCAGTTAAATGTTAGGTTAGCGTTTAACCGATTAACCAGCTAAGCAGGATCCCTGGCCCCAGGGCTGGGTTGGGTTGGGCTGGGCTACTGCCAGGGAGGGGAGGAGGCTGCCACTGGCTCCCAGCCCCACTGGGGCAGCTCTCCACCCATGGCAGTATCCTGTAAGCATCACCCAATGACCAATTAACCAGTTACCTGTTCACATTGGAAGTAAACCCCAAAGTATATTTCATTAAAATGGACAATATTGTTCTAGCTAACAAAACATTAATCATCTTATTATAAAATTGACTAGAATAGGATTACAGTATATGGTACACTACCTGAAAAAGCACTACCTGTTGGTGGACTATGACATGACCTGTCAGTGACTTGGGAAAAGAGACAATTCATCATGTCAAAAATGCAGTGAGACATCAGCATAGAGTAGTAGAATTTCACAAATCTTCAGAGTTCACTGAAGAGTTATCCAGAATATATGAGCTAATGCAGACTAACTGGTGCCTTCTCCTTCTGCTCTGTCATTATCTATCAGTAATAGATGGTTTAATCCTAAAATTATATTATGTGGTTTTCAGTTTGGCACTAGATTCCAGATGCAGTGGGCAAAATATGAAATGTAATTTAGTTTGAAAGGGCTCTCTGTGTGAATTCAATAAATAAGTTGCCCAGTAAGACCAGAATAAAAATTGTTTTTGTAATTCCAAAAAGTCACATTCAGCTTTTGCTTTTTCTTCTTTATTAGGTTTTTGCTTTTTCTGAACACAGACATCGCTGATTTTATGCCTCAGAGTACAAGAGGCTTTTGGTATTTTTGTCTAGTGCTTTATTTTAGTGACCAGCCTTTATCTCCCTACATCATCAGCTCAACACTCTGTAACACACATGGAAAAAACAAAGTTCCTAACCATTTAATGATCAATATCAGTGCAACACCATTTCTCTGTCATGTCCCCAAATCTGCTATACAAGAGACACTGAACTACACAACAAAGAGGCATGCCTGAAATAGCTGTTTGCCCATTTTAGCTAATAAACATGAATATTTTTAATAGAAAATCCCAAAGTAAAATTTGCCGTATTTTTCTATTTTTCATTATGAAGAAAAATTACATTTTTACTGTTTTATAGGCAGAAGAAATATTTTTTAAAATAAAATACAAATAGAAAGAACACAATTTATATATTTCTTTCATGGACACAAGCCAATTACAAATGAACATGGTCTGTAGACTTTGTAATTTAGATTGTAGAAATTGTAAGGAGAAACAGACTTACTACTAAAATTATTTTTCAGAAATTTACCAAGTTAGGGTATAATCTGAAGCCCACTTAAATCAATGGATATCTTTGCATTAACTTCAATAGGTTTTAGGAGCAGGCATTTAAATAATGCTTACCTATGCTTGTTATAAAACTGTGTTATGAACTTTTTTTTTTTTCCAGATTCATACTATGACACATATTTCTGGACACTGCTACAGTATGTGACCAAGTTTTCAAAAAGAAAACTATAAGACTGGTAGGAAAGATTTTATTTTCATGTTTTAAGAAGTTAATAAATAATCAGTAATGCAGGTTGAACCTCTCTAGTCTGTCTTGGAAAGTGTCTGTTAATCAAACGTGTCAAAGTTTTTCCAAAACTCCTGGTCCTTGGTTTCTTATATCTCCTGAGCTGAATTTAGAATGGTTCATTTATCTGAAGAAGTGGGTTGTACTCATGAAAGCTCATGATACCATCTACATGTTTTGTTAGTCTCTAAGGTGCTGCAGGGCTATTTGTTGTTTATTACGTTTTTTCTATTACAGACTAACACAGCTACCCCTCTGAAATTTGTGCTAAAGGGTACTGTGTTAACATAACCCTTAACGTGAAGTAGGTACTATTTCATTGCACTAGCAATGACTACATAGGGCAGTTACAGCTCAATTAATGCACACTTCAGTTTACATCCGTGTAATTGGTACTGTTGGCTTGTGTAGACAAGCTATCACATAACACTAGCAGTTTCTTTTAGATGTTGTGAGGAGGAACTGAACTGTAGTCAGGCCTACCAAGTTCTTGTCTCTATTAGTTCCTTGCTCTAACCAGTATACATACTCCCAATTCAGTTCTACTCTTTCAGGGCTGATTTGACAGTATCCCTAATTGCATGATTTTCTGAGGTAAACCTCCATTCATGGATGATAAGGTAAGGAAACCTTAAAACACCGTGCCATTTCTGTACAATTTCTTCCTCCAAACTCTCGCTCTTCTCTTCATATAACAAAATCTATCCAGGTTCCTCAACTAGTTGTGTCTCATCTATGATCATTCTTCCTCAGAAGCTTATGCCCTAAAAAATCTGCTAGTCTCTAAGGCAAGCTTGGGCAAAATACAGCCCCAAGACGGATCCAGCCCACCAAGACACCAGATCTGGTCCGCGGACACTGTGGGGAGCCCCAGGCAGGCTCTCTGCTTGCCTCGCCCCACGCACACGCCGCTCAGAAAATGGCTGCCAGGCCATTTCTCTTTCAAAACTTGGCCCAGGGTGTGTGTGGGGGGAAAAGGCTTCAGGCACTGACCACATCCCCAGCACAATCCCATTTGCCAGTTGTGCCACATCCCCAGCACAATCCCATTTGCCAGTTTCTGACCAGAAACTGGTCAATTGGAGCTGCCTGTTTGAATAATAGGCACCACACGAAGCACCTCGCCTCCCACTCTGGGTGGTAGTTAATCACACATGCACATGACCCTGCAGCTTGTGTGGGAGTGGAGCAGGCTGCCTGCCTGAGAAACATGCTGGGCTGCTGGCCAGGAGTCACCCAGATAAGTCTCCCAGCCAGAGCTCCAGCCCTTCCCTTCCCCAACCCTTTGTCCCTCTCACTCCACATACCCAAACCCTCTGCCTCCCTTGTGCACCCATATCCCCTCCCAGATTCGGCACATCAATCCCCTGCTTCAAATCACAATCCTATCCTGTACTAGGTCACAATTCAAACCTCTGCCCCCCAGCCCAGTGCCCCAGGTCACAACTGCCTCCTTCTCTCACCTAGACCCCTCCTGCACCCCAATCTCTTACCCCAAGCTCCCTTCTGCACCCAAACTTTTTCCCAGACCCTGCATTTTCTCCATTAATATCATGGAAGACTGCGGCCCTCAACCACATTTCAAAATTTTGGATTGGCCCCCCCCATCAAAAATTATTGCCCACCCCTGCTCTAACCATAGCTAATGGCTACTTCATGCCTCACAATATAAAGAGCTACCCACCAACTGTAATGCACAAATTCAATCAAAATCTGCATATCCCTGATCTGTCACAAGAACAATCTCAAACACAGAATTAAAATCACCATCCACAATGCCACCACTTTCCCTGTTAAATACATCCATGAAAATTGTCATCACTTCTCATTCTCCTTGCCCCAAAGAATCTCCTTCCCATTTGCACATTCCTTATTATTTCCCGAGAACGTAGGCAAAAGGAAGCAAGGAGTGGTCCTGTACCAGCAATGTCCCTCTGCCAGGTAGACTGGCCAGACCAGACAGTCTCTGCATCAAAGGATAAAAGGACATGAATCAGACTTCAGGAATGGTAACACACATAAGCCTGTGGAACAACTGGAATATTCTTTGGGCAATAGGCGAGGAGCCTTTGGACTGGAGCTATTGAAGCATGATTCATGCAGGACAATGGGAGTCTTTGCACTGACTTCAAAAGGCTCTCAGTCACGATATGAGATTCAAGGTTGCTTCATTTTTTTCTTCATCACACCACCTAGTGCTGGGTGTTGCACAAACACCTCTCCAAGGGGAAATCTGTCTCCTGCACTCGGAGTCCCCCAGCTGACAAATCATATCTTTAGGGGAAGGCGTTTGTGTCTCTTAGAAGGAGCAGGGCACACAAATGGGGGCGAGAGTTTCTTGTCTGAATCTGTCTCTGCTCAGGCTGTACCCAGAGAGACAATCTGCAGCTCCCTTTGTGCATTTACCAGCCAGTTCCTCCCTCCCTGTGGCTGTCCACTAAAGCCAGGAGGAAAATGAAGCTCTGGCTCAATTTTGCTTTCCTACTAGTAGCTTTGGAAGGCAGAAGTTTCGGGGGAACTTCCCAGCACGTTATTCTCTCTCCAGAGTTGTCTCAGTCCAGCCTTACCCTGTGACCTGACCCTTACTCTGTCACTAACCCGCTGTAGCAGCCCCACTATGCCTGGGCCGGGGCTACATGGTTCAGTCTGCAATCCTCCTACAAATGGATAGTGATCAGGGCTGGAAGCAGTGCTAGGGAAACTGTCCTCTGTGGGGGCATTTGGTTCATCCTTTTCCAATCCACATGTGCAAACTGGGTCTCAATGCACGGCGTGGGCACTGCACACGAGGGACAGGACACCATCAAAACCAAATGCGGCCCACTGAGCCACCAGATCTGGCCCACGGATGCAATGTGGAGCATCAGGCAGGCTCCTTACTTCCCTTGCACCACCTGCACGCCGCTCAAAAAAGCGGCGGCCACAATCATTTCTCTCTCGCAGCTGAGAGTCCAGAGGTTTAGGGAGAAAGGCTTCATGTGCTATCCTTCCCCCAGCATAATCCAATTGGCCAGTTTCTGGCCAATGGGAGCTGCCTGTTTGAATAACAAGCAGCACATGATGCACCATGCCCCTCTCACCTCCGGCTCACAGTTATTCACACACATAGACTGTCTGAGAAATGTGCTGGGCTGCTAGCTGGGAGTCACCCATGTATTTCTCCTGGCCAGAGCCTGCCTCTGGCACCTCAGCCCCTCCCTTCCCCAATTCTCTGCCCCTCACTTCTGCCCCCCTACTCCACATAACCCAAACCCTCTGCCCCACTCCTGCACACATACCCCTCCCAGATCTGGCACCCCAATCCTCTGCCCCAGATCACAATCCCCTCCTGCCCTAGGTCATAACCCAAAACCCTGCCCCCAATCTCCTGCCCAAGGTCACAACCCAAACCTTGCACCCTCTCCTGAACCCCAGTCTCTTGCCCCAGGTCACAACAGCCTCCTTCCCAAGCAAACTCCCTCCCAGACCCCATACGCCCTCCTGCATGCCAGTCCCTTACCCCAAGCTCCCTTCTGTACCCAATCTCCATCCCAGATCCAGCACTTCTTCCATTAAAATCAAGAAAGAGTGCGGCCCTCGACCACTTTCCAAATTCTTGGCATGACCCCGCATCACTAAATATTACCCGTCCCTGCTCTAAGGTACCACAGGACTCCTTGTTGTTTTTGCAGATTCAGACTAACATAGCTATCCCTTCCGGGACTCATCCACAGAAGTTATGCAGATCTCCCTCATCTTGGGAATCTGGGTTCTGAGAGCTTTCACTGTGGTATAACACTGATCAGCAGAATTGAAGATGGGACCTCTGGAGCTTAGTGCGTGAGCTTTAACGCATGCACTTAGTTAATGCTGTAGAGTAGACTGAGTATTATTTTCTCTGCTCCCCGCCGGCTGGTTCTTTCCCCCAATCTCCCCCAGCCAGCCCCGCTCCTCCCAATCCCCTCCCGGCCAGCCCCGCTCCCCCCAATCCCCTCCCGGCCAGCCCCGCTCCCCCCAATCCCCTCCCGGCCAGCCCCGCTCCCCCCAATCCCCTCCCGGCCAGCCCCGCTCCCCCCCCAGCCGGCCCCCCCTCCTGTTCTGAGATCATGTGTGTCCAGTATTTTTTTGAAAGCCATCTGGTAACCCTACTTCCTCACTCTTCATCTGTTTTTGTCGTCTTAGATTGTAAATGGTAAGGCAAGATTCTCCTACTGTGTATTAGTGCAGCATCCAGCACCGTGATGTCCTAATCCTGGCACCTTGACTGGGGAGTACTACAATACAAATAACAAGCAGATCCTAAATTCAGGTCATTATTCAGTGTTTCTTCTCTACTTGGGCAGAATTCCCACTGACTTCACTGTAAAATATAGTCATCATACAGGACTCCCTCCTAGCAGGGAAGTTTCTTCATATGCTATGAGCAATCACTTGAATGTTGATGAGAAGCAATTTTACAAGACTGTGGCTATGTCTAGACTACAAGCTTCTTTCGAAAGAGGTTTTTTCAAAGCGAGCTGCTTTTTCGAAAGAGAGTCTAGATGCTTTCTTTCGAAAAAGCACAGTTTGCATTCAATAGCGCCATTTTTCCAAAGAGTACTTTTGAAAGAACGCGGCTGCAGTCTAGATGCAAGTGAAGTTTTAACTGCGGTTTACTGCAATAAAAAAAACTGCCGCATTCTTTCAATTTACTTTCGAAAGAACGCGGCTGCAGTCTAGACACAGGTGAAGTTTAAAAAAAAAAAGACTACTTTTTTCAAATAAACTCTGTAGTCTAGACACACCCTGTGTTTGAGTAACATAACATAAGAATGGCCATACGGGATCAGACCAAAGGTCCATCCAGCACAGTATGCTGTCTGCCGAAAGTGGTCAATACCAAATGCCCCAGAGGGAGGGATCACAACAGGTAATCCTCGCATGATACCTCTCCTATCATCCACTTCCTGAGAAATCTAATAGACATACAAA